GGACCGAGGAAGCCTCCACCAGCCCCGAGGACAGCCCAGGCTCAGACCCGGGGGCAGCCTGGGCTCCGCGGGGCCCTGAGCTGTCACCACCAGGACCTGTTTCTCTAAAACCTCATCGTGGGCCAACCTGTCTGACCTCTGACCCCGTCATGCTGCTGTCCCTCCCTCCCCGCCCCGGCCCACTGACCATCCTTCCTCCCCTGCCACCCACCCACCTGAGCATTCCCCCCACCCCCTCAACAAGTATTTATTGAGCCTCTGCTGTGTGTTAGTCGTGGGGTCCGGGGACTGGAGGGGGGACACAGACCTGGCCCTCAAGCCATGGGTCCTGGGGTCAGAGGCCCCCACCTAGTGCCCAGCCCAGGCTGCCTGCACCGAGCCCCCTGGGGCACCTCACAGGCCCAGTTCAGGCCTCAGCGCTGCCCTGTGACCCCCAGTCCCAGGCCTGACCCCTTGGAGGAAGGAGGCCTGAGCTCAGCTCACCCCCAGGCCCCAGTGAGCTGCTGTCGTCAGCGTTGCAGCCCGAGACGTCCCCGGTGCCCTGCTCCACGCCTTGGGGGGCGTCTGTGAGAACAGGTTTGGGAAGAGGGGGTGGCATGGGGGCCCGTTTCCCCAGGAGGCCCCAGTGCCTGGTTGAAGTGGAGGGTCACCTGCCAGATATCTTGGCTGCCTCCAGCCCCAGCCCCTCGTCCTGCCCAGCCAAACCATGACCCCCAGGGGAGCCTGGGGCCAGGGGGAGCTCCTCAAAGCGGGGCGTCTGCTTCCCTCCAGCCCCGCCCGTCACAGCCTGGAATAAAGTGGGCTGTGCTGTGGCTTGATCTGCGTGTTGGAGGCTGGTGTGGGGCTCTGGGCCCAGGAGGACCTGCCCACAAGCAGGGAAGGGGGGCAGGCCCAGGACCGGTGCCCGAGTCACCCAGGTGTAGGTGGGGGCACCAGGGGCTGCCCTCCCTCCTTCCCTGAGCCCACTCCTGCTGGCCGGCTCAGACCAGCTGTAAATCTAGATTGGGGTGCTGCAGAGGGGCCCCCTCATTGGCCTGTCGCTGTTCAGCTCAGCCAGGGCAGGGTCCTCGGGATGGCCGGGGAGGGGGAGCGAACACTTCCTGCCCCTGAGGTGCCCATCCCCGAGGGGCAGTCGGTGGGCCCTTCCTTAGAACCAGGCCTCACTCACTGAGTCGGGACTGCAGCCCGCGGCAGGGTCATCCGGTCTGAGGGAGACCCTGAGGCCCCACCAGGCAGGGCCAGCTGCAACCCACCCCCTCCAACCGACCTAGACCCTCCCTGAACCCAGAGGTGCAAGTGTCTGTGAGCTTGTGCGTGTGCGTGTGCGTGCCCAGGAGACCAACAACCTAACATGCTAACAAGGAATCGGAGGACAGCGTTAGGCCTGGGGGACGGTGGGAGACCTGCCCACACAGGGCTGGTGGGTGGGGCCATCCCTGTCTTGGCCCTTGGTTGAGGGCTGTGGGCAGAGGGGTCAAGTGCAGGCCCCGTGCAAACAGCCGTCCTGGTCTCAGCCCCTGCGCTGACCGAGAGCCGCCCGCTGGGCCCCTGGTTGAGGACACACAGGGCACACGCAGCCCAGAACACGTTCCCTGAAAGTGACTGCACCCTTCCCAGCCGCCTTCCCTGGCCCTGGGGACGCTGCAGGCCCCAGGCCGAGTGGTCAGGACAGACAGCTGTGAGCATGGGACTCAGAGGGGGCCCTGGGACCGAGGAGGGAGAGGAGAGCAGACCCCATGGGGGTGCGTGGCCTGTTGTGCGCAGCTGCCCAGCTGGCTTTCAGCTTGTCTAGCGTCAGCCCTGAGCAGTCGCACAGACGTGCATTCTGCTCTAAGTGCCCCCAAACCCACCCCGTTGGGTGCAATTCATGGTTTCAAACCTGGCGGGACCGGGGGAGTCGTGGGTTCTGACCACCCACCTTCCCCATGGCCCCCCAACACCCTCCCTAGAGAACCCTTGGGCAGCTGGCAGGGGGCTCCAACCTCAGGGCCCCAGTCAGCGCCAACCGCCCCCCAGCCACTCACAGGTGTGACCTTAACCTGTTGGCAGGTTTGTTTTCTCCAAACTTAAAGGAGACTCGCACACGGGTCACAGCGCCCCGCCCACCTGGGGCTCACAGCACCCCGCCCCCAGCTCCCCCAGAAAGGACGAGTACAGCAAAGCCCAGTAGAAAGAATTTATTTAAATTCAACGATGAACACAAACCTCCCTTTTATTCCATTTTTACAGCAAATAGAGTGGTCTAGTCCGCTCCTTCATGCATGATCACTGAGTAATAATCTACAACTCTGACTTTAATTGTGGAAAAATAAAGTGTGTCCCGCTGTCACCCCGGGAACATCTGTAGAGCTGAGAGGGCGGGCTGCTCGCGTGGGCCGGGGCACTTGGGTAAGACCTAGGCCGCCGGGGAAGGAGTCGTCACCAGGAAATAAATATTGCGTCTCGAGGCGGCGGCCGGCAGCTCCGCCGTCTGCGAT